AGGGTTCATGTGATACAATAATAGATAACTAATAGAAATGAAAACAAGTCAGCACATCTATGAAATACTACAGAGATGAAAAGCTACTTTGGGAACAAAAATGTAAAGAATTTAACTGAAAATACAGTTTTTAAAAAAGTTTAATTTGAAAGCACATTGAGTGAAACTAAAAAGTTAAAGGTGAAGGCTACAGATAAGAAAAATCAAGGAGAAACATCACACATATTTTCAGGGTTACTAAAGAACAAAACAGTGTACTTTAAATATAATTTTAAAGCCCCTTGTCATAAAAACAGACTCTACTTCTCAGAGATTAAGAGCAATATCCAAGAAAAAATGATACAGAATGACAAAAATTAAGACAATCGATGAAGTTCCGAACTTTCAGGTTTAAAATAAATTGTTCATTAGCATCCTGGACAAAAAAGCAAAACAAGAACAAGTGAAAAGATGAGTTTGATTCAACCTTCACAATGACACCAAATGATGGATGACGGGGAAGCCATGTCTCCATATTTCTGAGAAAAGTAATAATACTACATAGCTTTGATAATTATAATTAACAATCAGAAAATAAATGTGAATAATTTTAAAAGAATAGTAAAACACAAAAAGGAAAAAGGGAATCCAGAAGAAACTTTGTTAAATTTCCCATTGTTCTAACAAAAAGTCTAAAGATTCTATTTAAAATTAAATTCAGTCATTTCAAAAAACAGAATTCAAACTTTGGAGGTGTTTTTTCTTTTTAACTGTTTAGTAATAATATCATTTTGGTAAAAGGAAATTAATATGAAATTAATCAATTCCTTCAGCTTAAATTCAATTCCTTTTTATTCCACTGGAAGCAAACTAAAAAAATACTCTTTATAAGAGATGCAAAGTATAAATATAATCTTATTGTAATAAAGCCGTGTCTAATTATTTGTATGTGCGTACATGGAGATGCTATAAGCAATGTTCACCAAATGTGAACAAAAGGTAAGAAGCAAGGAGATGATGGGGCTCTGCATGCTTTAATGGTTTTAAAATGAGCAATGCATCATCTTTCCAAATAATCAAGTTATTTTTCTCCTTCAGTAATTCCGTAATTTTCCCCAAATCTCTGTATATCATTTTGTTCCCATTTCCCAGATACGTGAGATACCCAAAATTGAAGTGACTTGACAGAAAAAAGAGTGACCCAATTCAAGACAATATTTTAATAAATACTGTGATACACCTACTAGCTGGTATCATTATCAAGTTTATTGATGTGGCTCAATAAAAACTTTTAGTATAATTATATATGCTTGGAAATAGGATGAATGCAACAGGAACTAAGAAATTCCAAGGCTTATTCAACATAACAGTAATGCAGCCAACCAAGTCTTACAGAAGGTGGCCAGGCACCAAGTACATGTTAGAATTAATGACCTTTGAGGGCACTTCCATTTCTGAAAATGTCTGACTTTGTGATGTGAAATCATACAATGTCATGAATCTCTCTTATGCTAAAGAAAAAAAAAAAGCTTTAAATCTTTTTTGACAAATATGTCCTTTTTTTCACACCCAGAGCAACTCTTGAAATAGGCAGGACAGGTGTTACTAGTTCCTCTTTGCAGATGAGAAAGTTAAAATTCACAAAGGAGAGGGCAGTGGGTTCCCAGATCAAACAGAGATAATTGCAGAGCTAAGGCCTGTCTCTTTTCGAGACCACTTCTATTGTCCAGGCAAGGACTCCACATACACTTACAGCAGCCAATGCTAACAATCCATTTCATTTACATTAATTGCAGCTTTTGGAGCACCTATGCCTACTTAGTTCAAAATGTGAGAAAAGCTGGAATGCTGCAATTACAATCCTTCTATCCTGTGCGAAGAAGGATCCTTGGAACTTGGAAATGAAATTTAAAGCAACCACAAGCTATACGAACATCAATATGAAATAAACCCTTTTTGTGTGGCATGAAATCGCTCACAGAAAGGCTTGCTCTTGTTCTCTTGGTTTCCAAATGCATGAAGTAAAAGTCACCCCACTAATGCTGGGTGGTTAGGCAGCTGTTCATCAGAGGTAGTCACAGAGCAAAGTTTTAATGTGAACTCTGATAAGCTGGACTAATGTATCTGTGGCATGGGGTACGTTCTGAACACCTGCTCTAAGCCAGCTGCTGAGAAGCTCTGGGTAAACATACTGAAATGGCTGGGGGTAAGAAAAACAAGGCAAAGCAAGAAGCGAGGTCCACCACAAACCACCATATTCACAGAGAGGACAACTGTAGAAAAACATTGAAGTGTGTATCCACCAGATTTTATGCTGGTATTTGTGAGCAAGAAATAATGGTCAACTGGAAAGTTTTTAGAATTTATTTCTTTTTTAAAGGCTGATGACAAAGGGACAAATCCAAGTGGAATGAAGCTGAGTAAATGAAGTAACTTAAAAATGAAGTAAAGAAAAACTTAATGCAAAGTAATGCAAAGGTTTTTTGTTTTTGTTTTTTTGGTTTTTTTTGGAAAGGGCAGATGAAAACTGCTCCTGAAAGTAAAACTCTCAGTATGGACACAATAGAAATTTTATGAAACCCAAGTAGTCTATTTAAATTTTAGAACCTAAGCAGAAAGGCACAGCATGATATTCCGTGGCTCTTGGCAGGATTTTGTCACAACTGGCAAACTGGAAATGTACAAAATAGTTTTAAAAGCCATATTCAAATCCCTTTTCAATTATGTATGCTATGGCAATATAGCTTCCACTGACATTTTTAAAACTTCCTCTTAATATTGACCTTGTCAAAGTATTTGAAATATAAAGATGAATTTTCAAACTCTGCAATTTTTTCCCTGAATCAGACTTTGTTAAAACTGACAGCATCTGATTCAAGCGGACTTAAAAGCAAGTATCAATGTATCCTCTGTTCAAAGGCATCTACAACAGATAAAATGTATTTAAAATTATTTTTAAAAACACAGCAGTGAGGCTGGGCACAGTGGCTCAAGCCTGTCATCACAGCCCACTGGGAGGCCAAGGTGGGAAGATCACTTGAGGTTAGGGGTTTAAGAGCAGCCTGGCCAACATGGTGAAACCTCGTCTTTACCAAAAATACAAAAAATTAGCTGGGTGTCATGGCATGCACCTGTAATCCAGCTACTTGGGAGGTTGAGGCAGGAAAATCATTTGAACCTGGAAGGTGGAGGTTGCAGTGAGCCAAGATCGTGCCACTGCACTCCAAACTGGGTGACAGAGCAAGACTCTGTCTCAATGGGACAAACACATTAAATGAAATACTCACTGCTCCTTTCTCCTTAAAGACTTTTGAACTCATGAATTATGAGCTATAAGGCACAATTGTTCAGAATGAATCACATATATTACAGTCAATCATAATATTTTCAGGGTTTATCTTCAGGGTAACTAGTAACACAATGATCCTTTTTGCTATCATCTTCAGTTGTCATAATAAAAATTAGTTACAGAATAATGACACTGCCAAAATTTATAAACTTAAAAGCTAACACTGTAACACTGATCTTGTCAAGCATAAAAATTTAATGACAATTGAACAAAAATAAAGAAATACTATCTCAACATCATTTATAAAGGAAAGGGATAAATACATTTTGCATGATAAGAACATTTCCATGTTTATATAGAGAAGAGGCAAGAAAATTTAAATTTACTAACTTTACCACTCTAGTGTTAAGAAATACATAAAATTTTTAACTTTACTGTATAAATGGAATTATCAGTGGTGTGCTGGAGCTAGCTTATCCCCAGCTCATGAGAGCCAATTTTTGAATTTTAAGGAATCTTGCAAGGCAGTTGGTAAGCATCTAAACCAGCCATAGTGGGAATAATTACCCCACAGGAATTGACAAACACTGCAATCAGGCCTCTCCTCTCCCCTCCTCCTCCCAGAGACTCACTTTACTAACACACCAGAGATCCACATACGAATACGTCCACAGCATAGTTAATCCTCACAGAGTGAATGCACCCACACAGGCAACACTGGGGTCATGAAAAAGAACATTACTGATACCTGCAGAAGTCTCCCTTGAACTGTATCTGAATCGATATCCCTCCACAGGACCAAACACTTTACAAATACTAGAAAGGAGCAATTTTACCAATGAGGATGGAAGAAGACAATTTTAAGTGAAAGATAAAACCTCGAAAATCACTTGTAAGTAACTGTGGAGGTAGGCTGGCAAAAAAGACATGGCAAGATGTGTATTGATTTGGAAGCAGCAAGAGTAACATGGGAAGGAAAATACGAAATCGTATTGCTCAGCAGCTACATGAGGAATTATGAGGCACAAGTCACTGTGTGAGACCTGTTCCGTGTAAGACCCTATTTATAAAATAGAGCTGGTTTACCATATTGTAATTCTCTTAGTGTCACCTATTATTTTTACATTATAACCAGTAGGAACTACAAGAAAATCTCAAGTAACTACCACAAATACGGTAATGCCCTTACCTTATTTGGTGACTGTTGAAATTCACAGCCCCCACCCACTTATTCATACTGTATTTGTAGGAAACCAAATATTAAAGTTTTACATGATGATCCTACTTCGATGAGGAAAGCAGAGACTTCAGGGGCAGAGGACTGCAATTGACAGCAATCATGAACCATATGGCGCTGGTATTAGAAGTATGTTTGTAGAAAACTGATGTATATTAAACAAAATCTGGCTTCTTTTTTTGTACCAGTGATCAGTTGCATCAAGCGGTTTTCCATTTTTTAATATTCATCTGAAAGCTGATTCTTAAAATACCAGCTTAAGTTCTGGAAAAGAATAACAGCTAGACTTGCAGACAAAAATGGGGAGTTGCTTCCATATAATCTTTTTAAGAAGCTAAAAAGAAAAATTACATTTTACAGATAGATATGCACATATAAGTACAGACGTCTGTCTCATATTCAGACAAGGAAATACTCTAATGAGAATAAACTGCCCAAAAGTCATGCTCAAAGTAGCAATATTTTCAATGCAATTTTAACATCCGACTAACCAACCTTTATTGTTTTTCTCTTCCTATGGATATTCATTCATCCATTTGTTCTTAGAGTCACATTGATCCTGCAAGAAAAACACAAAGACAAATGATGAAAGTTCTACAAGTTGATGTTATTTCTCCCTTAGGGGAAAAAATACATCTTGAATCTACAGTTCCTTAAGCTCATGATCAGTACAGCTGAGGCCTAACTTTTCTTCAGTTACATGTTGTTGGCCTGCTCTTCAGCAGCCATGAAAGGGCAAAATGCAGTAGAGGAAAAAGTACCAGCTATGACACTAGGACAAGATCCTGGGCACAAGACAATGAAGACCTAGACAAAGATGAAGGAGGAAGAGCGGAGGAGAGTATAGAGAGATGCATCAGAGAAAGACAAATGGGGAGAAAAGGGCAAAAACAAAAACAAAAACAAAAACAAAAAAGGTTTATAAGTAAATTGACTCTATAAAAGAGAAGCTCAAAATACTCAAATTGGAACACTTGGCTTCATTATTCTTAGAAATGAAGAGATTTAAAATAATGCTGTTTTACTGAGGAAAAGGTAATTTCTTTAACAGTTGTTACAAATGTGCAGAATAATGAATACAAATAAATTTGGTGGCTCCTTGTCAGCCAGTATCCAACTAACTTTAAAAAAATTGATCTAAATTAATCTATATCCCTTCTTTTAAAAATTAAATATAAATTAAATACTTATCTGGTTTTTAAAGGGTCCAAAATCTCCAGAACCACCTGGATCTCACCAAATCATTAAACATTATTGAATTGGGGAGTTCTGATAGACCATTTGCCCTCTTTGGATATATCTTACAAGTCTTCCTATTCTCTCTCAGCATTATGTTACTTGCTTCAGAATTTCCATTTCATGAGGCAAATTTTCTTTGGCATTCAGTTGAGCCAGCTTATTAGGCACAGTTGACTTTATTTTTCATTTGGAATTACACTCAAGAGGGGACACGCCCTAGAATTCTCAGCAGCGCCCATTCTGTGCCAATGTCTATGGGCTGTAGCACTGGGCCTGGTTTCCTGTGTATGTTTCCATACATTTGAAAAGAACTCGCTCACTTATAAAGGCCTTAAATGAAATGCAGCAGCGTTCACGAGCTCCATGGGCTTGACTAGTGAAGAAAACTGGCCTTTAATTTTAGTCTACTTTTAAATATATATGTCTCTCTGGCTATAACAATGTCTCAAAACACATCTCCTAATACGCACTACAGCTTTTACCAGGCATGCTATTAAAAAGGCAATGCAATATTTTAATATTACAGTGGCAGACTAAAAACATTCTATTGAAATTCAAAGTATAATTCTTCTATTTAACATGATTAAACCATAACATGGTATCCTTTGAAATACTTTTAAAAAGTCACCTAAGACACAGTGTTCTCAAACATGTTTTGTTCTTTCTAGTCTTCAAAATATATTTAATCCAATCAGTTCCAACTTCTTAGCAGAATGTTCAAGGTACGTCAAACCTGGCTCATTATTTTTCAGAGTAGTTCTGTAATTCTTTTCATTTAATGTGCCATAGGCATTTTCTCATAGGCTTAATCCAAAAATTTGTAATACTCCACTGAAGGAATCTATCATTATTTACTACTTAACTTTTGCCTTATAATTTGTGATTTTTTATTACAAATCACACATAAACACCCTTCCATGTAAATTTGGTGTGCACCAGTGTCTCTGCTAACCTGAATGATGCTTTTATGCAACTAGAAAGGATGCCCCTCCGAACAGACACAGACAGACTCCAATCAGAAACAGGGCAGGGTCTGGCAAGCAGAGGTCACTGGAAACTATAACCACCACTCACCCAGGTAACCTCATCCTATACTATTGCACTTAGCTGTACCAACTTACACTCCCACCAAGAGAAGACATGTTGTGCCATTCTCATCTTTGTTTCCCAATACACACAGCAGAGAGCCCAACAAATTTTAGGAGACCAGTAAATGTTTGTTAAATGAGTAAAGTTAATGATGAGAAATGGAAGAAAAAGCAAATAAAGCAAACTTCTTCTGCATCAATTATGCAGATAATTCTTACCCAGGTAACTTAACCCTTAGTTATATAATTTGTATTTTTAGATACAGTCTACAAACTAAAACAAACATTAAATTATGTGAACTATACATAACTATACATATCATATATGTTTACAGCATGTGGGGATTGACAAAATATTCCAGTGCTACCACTTTTGTTATTGCTTTTGTTTTTTTTTTTGAGATGGAGTCTCACTGTAATGCCTAGGTTGCTATGCAGTGGCACGATCTTGGCTCACTGCAACCTCTGCCTCCCAGGTTCGAGCGATTCTTCTGCCTCAGCCTTTCAAGTAGCTGGGACTACAGGCGCGTGCCACCATGCCTGGCTAAATTTTTGTATTTTTAGTAGAAACAGGGTTTCACCGTGTTAGCCAGGATGGTCTCGATTTCCTGACTTCATGATCCATCTGCCTCAGCCTCCCAAAGTGCTTGGATTACAGGTGTGAGCCACCTCACCTGGACAATGTTATTACTTTTTTTTGAAAGCAGTTCTGGACTGGGGGTGGTGGCTCATGCCTGTAATCCCAGCACTCTGGGAGGTCAAGGGAGGCAAATCTCTTGAGCCCAGGAGTTCAAGAACACCCTGGGTCAAGTGCGGTGGCTCACACCTGTAATCCCAGCACTCTGGGAGGCCGAGGCAGGCGGATCATGAGTTCAAGAGATCGAGAGCATCCTGGCCCACATGGTGAAACCCTGTCTCTAGTAAAAATATAAATAAATAAATTAGCTGGGCGGTGGTGCGTGCCTGTAGTCCCAGCTACTTGGGAGGCTGAGGCAGGAGCATTGCTTGAACCAGGGAGGCAGAGGTTTCAGTGAGCCAAGCTCACGCCACTGCACTCTAGCCTGGCACCTGGCAGTGACAGAGCAAAACTCTAACTTAAAAGAAAGGCCTGGACAACATGGTAAACCCCGTTTCTACTAAAAATACAAAAATTAGTCAAGCATGGTGGCGCATACCTATTGTCCCAGCTACTCGGGAGGCTGAGGTGGGAGGATCACCTGAGTTCAGGAGGTTGAGGCTGCAGTGAGCTGAGATCACATCACTGCACTCTAGCCTGGATGACAGAGTAAGACCCTATCTCAAATTTTAAAAGAATAAAATAAAGCAGTTCTGTGAGTTGATCATATGAACTATTTTAAGATCCACTTGACAAGGATGATGAAACTGCTCAGAGGTAAATTTTATAACCAAGGTAACAAGTTAGATAATGTCAAGATTCTTATGAAACCCCTGCCTTAGTCCCAAATCTTACTGCATGGCTCTTTGTGGTTTGCCATACCACCTATGTTTGCAAACTTCAACAATTTAAATGTGTAATTCTGTATGTTTTAAAGCAGGGGAGAGCCTGTTACAAAACAAGTTTTTGCTTTCCATCCAATTCAGGCTCCTAAAAGAAGGTTCAAGATTCATCTCTCGCCTTTTAGATCCCCCCTCACCCATGCTTTAAAAGTGGCACAAATGAAGGTTAGAGATGAGGACACAGATTAGAGTTGAGAAGACCTGCTGTCCTTAGTCTCACCTCTGTCATCTTCTGGCTGTGTGAACTTCAGCAACTCATTCAACCTCTTTGATGCCCAGTTCTCTTCTCTAAGAAGCAAGGATAATAATAATACCTGTTTATCTACCTTGCCTACTCTAATTGCAGTAATGTTTATACAGCAATCTGTAAAATGTTAAATGTCATACCTGTGAGAATTACCACTCTTTAATCAACAGCCTAGATATTGAATAGGAAAAAAAAAAAAAAGATTTATCTAAATGGAGGCCACAAGATAGAACAGATGCATATCTCATTTTATTCATGCTAAGGGGCCTTTGGTTTTTCCCCTCAAATCCCTATCAAAAACAAGCCATGATATAAAATAGGAAAATGGCACATTTCCAGTAACAGTTAATAGCTCATCAATTTCCGAATTAAATTTACTTAGCTCTGCCAAATAGGTTTCTGAAATTATCCAGTAAATCTCCCCAAAGCACAGAAGTTTTAAAGGCCAGTGGCCTCATCAAAATGCTCATCATGCATGGTTTTGGTCCTCATTTTCCTGGCTTCAAAAATGTTTCTCAACTGTCATTCGGTGAAGAAAAGCAAAGGATTGGCAGCTTATTTCAATGTGACAAACCTGAAAAATGACAAGGCATAAAATACTATACTTTTGAAAGTATTTTAGGTTTACTTTTTTTTTTTTTTTTTTTGAGACGGAGTTTCGATCTTGTTACCCAGGCTGGAGTGCAATGGCGCGACCTCGGCTCACCGCAACCTCCGCCTGCTGGGCTCAGGCAATTCTCCTGCCTCAGCCTCCTAAGTAGCTGGGATTACAGGCACGCACCACCATGCCCAGCTAACTTTTTGTATTTTTAGTAGAGACGGGGTTTCACCTTGTTGACCAGGATGGTCTCGATCTCTCGACCTCGTGATCCACCCGCCTCGGCCTCCCAAAGTGCTGGGATTACAGGCTTGAGCCACCGCGCCCGGCCAGGTTTACTTTTAAACCAAAATATTGCTGCCTAGAACCATGAATAAATACTCATGGTTTTAGAGAAGAGACTGGAGAAATTCCAGTTACACTTGTTTCTCTTTAGTAGCTTCAAGCAATAGACAATGATTTTTAAATTATTCACTTTCCCTTTTTCTGTCTTGAAATTTCCACATATGATCATTTGAGTTCCTTTATAATTCAAGACAGTACACCCTGGACAACAGAAGTGACCTTGGCCATAATGAAAGTGAATGCTATCTACTTTAACAAATAAGCAGTTACTCTGTAATAATTACCTCAGAGTACAGGCATTATATTATACTACAGTACCAGATTGCTTGCTCTTCATCACATCTTAAATGATCTATTATGTTCTCAGTCTTTAAAGGTTAGTGTTTAATACATTTTAAATACTCAGGATCTATAAGTATACTTGTTGCTAGATCCTCTGAGAATCCCTTTGTGTATCTTTAAATAGAGACAGAGACTCACACTAGACATCCAACTAGTCAGGGATTCTACTCTCTGCTCAAAGG